TTTCTCTGTGTTTTTTTTAAACTAATCATGTACAAATTTCAGCCTAAAAAACAGTAATTAATTGTTGACTCAAACCAATTTGGTCAATTAGTAGTACTAAGTAAGGGATGGTTTAGCAAAACGAGTTTGATCATTCTTGGGATTTTTCTAAGCATAAAATTAAGTTTTACTATAGACTTCAAATTTTCTATTCCTCTCATAAATATGTAGAGGATGCATTTTTAATTTGGATAATCTTGACTATGTTAAAATATTTGTTTTCTTTTATTCAAAAATTTTATGTCAATTTCAAGTGTTTCTTCTTTTCTTTTTTGAAAAAAATAAAAATTCAAATTCAAATCTCTCCCCCTCACAATATGTAAAGAAATCAGGAGAGATTTGTACTTGGAAAAAAGGTTAGATTAAAAGGATGTATATACTTTGAGTAACCTTGAAATATAATGGGGAAGCTACAAAGTGGATCATGAAATTAATAGGTAGTTAATACATGTTCTAATGTTGGTTGAGGGCAAAAAAAAAAAAAAGCTCTAAAGTTTTGTTGTAGTGTGTGTGTGTCAGCTATTTATCTTATAATACTCCTCCGATCCTTAATATAAAACCTATTTAACTAATTTGATTAGATTAAGAAATTTAGATAAGTTAGTTAATTATAAGAAATGTGACATGTTTTTCCTAAAATACCATAATCATCTTTCTTAATACCCATACAAAAAAACAGGACATTAGTGACGGAAAATTCCGTCGTAATCCCTCACAAATTTCGTCACTAAAATTAGCGACGAAATTTAGTGACGGAAAATTTCCATCACTAAAATTCCGTCCCTAACTTAGAGACGGATTAGTGACAGAATCTTATTCCGTCACTAAATTCTGTCACAAATCTGTCGCTAATTTTGTTTTAAATGATTAGTAATGGAAAAATTCCGTCACTAAATTAGTGAAGGATTAGTGACGGAATTTTATTCTGTCACTACTTAGAGATGGATTAGTGATGGAATAGGATTAGTGACGGAATCCCATTCCATCACTAAATTCTATCACAAGTCCATTGCTAATTTTGTTTTAAATGATTAGTAATGGAAATTAGTGACGGAAAAATTCCATCACTAATTTTTGTCACCAATCCGTCACTAACTCTCATTTTGTGACGGAAATTAGTGATGAAAAAATTCTGTCACTAATTTCTGTTGCAGTTCTGTCACTAATCCGTCACAAAAAAATATAATATAAATATATAATAATCATTTTTTAAACTATTAAAATAAAAATATAATATATCATAATTTTTAAATAATATATTATATAAAAATTAAAAAATACAAATATTATATAAGAAAATAAAAAATATATTTATTATTTTGTTAAATATTTGAATAAAAATATAAATTATTAGAAATTTTTTAATAAAATATAAAAATTAAATTCAAATAAATAATAATATATTAAATTATAAGATATATTAAATTATGTATATAATATTTATTATATATATATTTGTATTTTTTATTAGAAATATTATATATATTTATTTTTGTAAAAGAATTTCGCAGGTACTTCTCAGCTCAACTGGCAAAGACTTTAGTACACATGCAGGAGGTTTTAGGTTCAAACCAACACTTTTTCACAAATTGGCTCAATTTGTGACGTGGCGATGACATGGACAAGGTGATGACGTGGCGGCTCATAATGATGTACATGTGTCGATGACGTGGCTACATAGGAGAGAGGAGGAGTTGAGGTGGCAATGATTCGGCAGCTCATAATGATGGACACGTGGCGATGATGTGGCTGTATATGAGAGAGGAGGAGTTGAGGTGGCATCCAGTGATGGACACGTTGTGATGACGTGGATGAAGAGATGATGTGGCAACATGGGAGAGAGAGAGAAGTTGGTGAGGTGGCAGCCATTGATAACGTGGCGGCTCATAGTGATGGACACGTGGCGATGCTGTGGTATTTTAAATTTACCAAATAAATAAAAATTTAGCGACAGATTAGTGATAGAAATTTCTATCACCAATTTGTGATGGAATGTTCCGTCACAAATCCATCATTATTTTGTGACGGAATTTTTGTGGGATATCCGTTACTAATTAGTGACAGATTAGTGATCAAAAATTTCCGTCACTGATTTCCATCGCTAATCCGTCAGTTAGCGACGAAATTTTGAATTCTGTCACTAATTATTTAGTGACGGTGGAATTAGTGACGAAAAAAATTTCATCGCTAATTCCGTTGCTAACTGAATTCCGTCACTAATATGTCGCTAATCCATCGCTAATTTTGATTAGCGACGGAAATTCTGTCACTAAATTCTGTCGCTAATTTGATTTTTTTTTGTAGTGACCCCCTCCTCCTCTTCTACTTGATTATAGTTGAGGGAATATCCATAAGGATAATTTAGAGAAAATTGACAAATATGAAAAATGGGTCTTATATTTATGATCAAAACCAACTCAATAATTGGGTTCTATATTAAGGATTGGAGGAGTAAATGATTTTACATTTCATAATCTGTATTCTGAGTTAAATAAAAGAATGCCCATGATAAGATATATATCTTTAATCTAAGTATTTGCAGTTATAAAAGCAATTTAAGAGATGTGGGGGGGGGGGGAGATGAATATGAGGAATGCAAGTGTATTAATTTCATAAATATAAAACTTTTATAATTTGTTACATTTGTATTACTTGGTATGAGTGTTTCCTTTATAATGTATGATATGCCTCTTCCTTCTCCATGTTATAAATCTCACATGTAAGATATATGAACTATATAGATACATATTTTTACTCTCATTACGTATACATTAGAATAAGCCATTATGAATAATATATATAGACTAAATAACATTGGGTATCGTATGCTTTCTTCAAATATTTTCGCTATGAATTATATGTTCTTGAATAATCATAATATAGAAAATTCGATGTTTGATGTGCCTTGCTCAAACCACTCGAATTTAGTCCAATAAATATTTGAAGAATAAATATAATTGAGATTGATAGGGGAATTTATTAATTGTGAGACTATGAACATGAAAAAGGGTCAAAGTTTTAAAAACGAATCAAAGAGCCAAAAGTAGAAGAAAGCATTGTGATAGTGTAAGTCATAATTGAAGTATTGTCTGAGCATGCGCCATTCCGTTGAGGCAGACACAAAAAATTTATAAGTTTAATAAATGAAAACACACACACACAAATACACTATCATGAGTTTGAGCCAAACACATAAAAAGTAACCAAGCATAACATTTACATAGGAAAAGCATATGTGTTTGTGTTTGTGTGGGTCTTACAAGGAGAAAAATATCAATGACAACTTTTGCTTTTCAAAGCTAGCTTTTTTTTCTTTTTAAACCCATTTCCTTCTTCTTCTTCTTGTTCTTTTCCCCCAGTTTGAACCATTTCTGGGCGCACTTACAACTTTCTGCAAAATGGAATCCACCAAGGAGGACCCATGTTTTATGGTCTTTGGTTTCTGGAATCTACGATAAAAAGCTCCTCCACAACCACACAACACAACATTTTTCACCACCAAACAGAGACTAAGTAGTTTTAATCATTCTGGCAATAAGGAGCTTAAAGCTTAATAACCCTTAAACAAGATGTTACATTTAATTCTCATGAATTAAAAATTGTCATGTAGAGAGAAACTAGAGTGTAACTCAAATATGTGATGTCAAATAAGATCACATAACACATATTCAAGTCTTGTGCACATAACAAAAATCATCAAAAAATCATGACATGACTGAGCTGAATATGTATGCTCAAGTATTAAATATATTGAATTGGAAAAAGAGAGAATCAAATAAAAAGAAGTTTGAAATTACTAAATGTTTTTAAAAAATTTCTATAAAAACATGTTATTATTTGCAAATCCAATATCATTAAAACCTCCCAAAGTGTTGCAACTAAACATGATTTGGGATTTAATAATTTTAAACTTCTTTTTGTGAGATTCTCCGTTAAAAAAAGGCATAGGAGATTAGATTTATGAGAGTGTTATTTCGCATATTGAGCTTCACCGATTATATTATCTATTAATAAATTAATAAAATCAGTAAAAAAAAATCTGAAAACATTTCTATAAGTTTTAGATTCAAATAAAAACATGAATGCGAATTAAAACCGACAAGCAAAAGATTTTATCATACACAAATTTTATTTTGGAAAAGAAGAGATTTAATAAAATTTCATATTCATTATTTCTTAAATAGGGGAGTGTACTTTCAAACTGGTTTGGGGACAAAAAAAAATCACTCAAACACTAGTATTTTGAGGAGAATGAAAATCCACGAGGGATCTTCCCATGGGTTCATAGATAGAGGGTAACCAAATCTGTCATAAATGTGGGTCCCCCCAACAGACTCATGACTCATCACATTCTTCTCGAGATTCTCACATTCTCTCCATACAATGAAAGGGGGGAAAAAACACACTAAAGCCTTGTCAGTTTATAAATGCCCTCAATCTCACAGAATCTAGGATTTTCCAAAGCCCCAAGCAAAGCACAAGCAAAATCCTCCTCTTGCCTGCACAAATCTGATAAATATATGAGTCATCACTTTAAGTTTTGCCTCTTCGACACAATATAATACAAATTAATAGTGCGTAACTTTGTGATTATTAAATTCTAACATATGTGTGTGTGTGTAATGTGTATCCCATGCCTTAGTGCTTTTCTGCTTTATTCACTGTACTAGGGAAGGGCAGCCCCATATCATTTTTTAAAATTCCCTTTCTGCTTTCTGCACATGTGCATGATTAGGACACAAACTGAATTTCCCATTCAGTCCCTGCCGTTGGATTTTCACCAATTATTGGTCCACAAAGCAAAACATCTTCCTTTCTTTAACTTGAACATATACTTTAAACTCTGTTGATTTAAAAAAAAAAAAAAGGAAAGAAAAAAATTCTCCCTTGGTGCACTTTCAGTGAGGCAAAGCTAATTAGTGCTTTGGGTGGCTGTGAGATAAGATCATTAGGTTGTAGTGTATTATATTGTTCTTTGTACAGCTTCCTGACAACAGGCAAGCATGCTAGTTCTCTTTATACTTTCAAAATCTATGTCCTATTTTTGTGGGCCTGAAGGGTGGGGGGGAGATTTTTGGTGAATGTTATTGCTGAAAGGAAATGGGTCTCTTTCTTCTTCCTTGAAAAATCACTGTAAAGATAGTGCCTCCATTTCTGAATCGTTAACGTTATCAGTTTGTAACTGAACTGAATGGAGACGCTAAGAACACAGACTCTTCTCTGTTTCATGGCACTTGTCTGGCTTTCTTATTCTTCTTCTGCAAATGCTTTGCTCTCTCCTAAAGGAGTGAACTTTGAAGGTAACTTCAATTTCTGTTAGCTTTGTGTCAGTCAGTACAAGAAGAAGAATTCTGAAATGGGTATCTCTGAAATCTATGTAGTTCAAGCTTTGATGGGCATAAAAGCTTCTTTGGTCGATCCTCATGGAGTTTTAGATACTTGGGATGGAGATGCTGTCGATCCTTGTAGCTGGACCATGGTCACCTGTTCTTCTGACAGCCTTGTCGTTAGCCTGTGAGTCTGTTGTTTTCTTCTTCTTCTTTCATTAATTTGAATCAGACTCGGATTTGAACTTGAATCATTCAGTCTGCAAGTGAGTCTCCAGAGACAATGAAGTTGAAATTAATGCAGAACACTGAAGAATGATTTTAGCAGTTTAACATAAACTTGGTGTTCAATCCTGCAGGGGCACTCCCAGTCAAAGCTTATCTGGTACTTTGTCTCCCACCATAGGAAACCTCACAAACCTTCAGACTTTGTGAGTTATACCAAGATAATATATCTACACACCCACAAACATGTTTCTCTCTTTAAACTCAATGATTTTACTAAGTGTTAATGTCTTTTCAGGTTGTTACAGAATAATAACATTACAGGCACAATTCCTTCAGAACTGGGGAAGCTTTCAAGGCTGCAAACTTTAGATCTGTCAAATAATTTGTTCAGTGGGGAACTTCCTGCCTCTTTAGGCCACATGAGAAAGCTGCAATACTTGTAAGTGAGCATTTATGATCTGATTGTAGGGCGCTGCACATATCAGTAACACTTTTCAGGTCTTATGTGAAGCTTTATATTACTGCAATGGTTTTTGTTTCAGGAGGCTCAATAATAATAGTCTTTCTGGAGAATGTCCAGAGTCACTGGCCAACATGACACAACTTGCTTTTCTGTAATGTTTCTTGGATTCTTCTTTGGAACTAAATACATAAATTCCCCCCCCCCCCCAAAAAAAAAAAAGATGGTTTCTCATTTTATGATGTTCATTTCAGTGACTTGTCCTACAACAATCTGAGTGAGCCTGTGCCCAGAATTCTGGCCAAATCATTCAGGTAAACGCCTTTCTGGTTTATGTGTGCCTTGTAAACAGAAAATTGAGTTGTAATTATTGAGTGCTAATTTCTGATTTCAGCATTGTTGGAAATCCGCTCATCTGTGGTACTGGGAAAGAAGAAACCTGCCATGGGATGACACTGATGCCTATGTCCATGAACTTAAACAATACCCAAGGTAACTCTTCTAAGTTTTACTGATGACACATGGATTTTTCTTTTATTTTCAAAATTGATACAGATGTCTCTAAATTTTAAAATTACATATACATAGGTTTTATTTAATTTTTGAAACCTAAACAAATTTTCCTGAAACAAAGAATAAGTTGGACCAACCACCACCCATGAATTTTAGCCATTTAATTTCAGTAAAACTTGAGGGAACTTGATGTAAATTTGCTTTTGCTTGTATTCATTTGTGACTCTCCATGCTGATATATCAATCTATTTCCTTTCCCAGCTGCTCAACCTTCTGGCAGACAAAAAACACACAAAGTGGCGATTGCCTTCGGTTTGAGCCTAGGATGTCTGTGTCTCATAGTTGTTTGTTTTGGACTATTTCTCTTGTGGAGGCATAAGCATAATCAACAAGCATTCTTTGATGTCAAAGGTAAAAATACAATACAATTCAATGCAATAAAAACTTCAATTGAAACTTACAATGATATGATCACAGCACAAGATTGTCCTACTCAAGCTAACAGAACATATTTGATCTTGGGATGATTCAGATCGTCATCATGAGGAAGTCTATCTGGGAAACTTGAAGAGGTTCCATTTCAGAGAGTTGCAGATTGCTACCAACAATTTCAGCAACAAGAACATACTAGGAAAAGGCGGGTTTGGACACGTGTACAAGGGAATTCTCCCAGATGGAACAGTGGTAGCAGTGAAGAGGCTTAGAGATGGGAATGCCATTGGAGGAGAAATACAGTTTCAGACTGAAGTTGAGATGATCAGCTTGGCAGTGCACAGAAACCTCCTCAGACTCTATGGTTTCTGTATGACTCCATCTGAAAGGCTTCTGGTTTACCCTTATATGCCTAATGGCAGTGTTGCTTCTCGCCTCAAAGGTAAGCTCAATCATCAAACTTGTTTCAAGCTAGAGGGGCTTAAACAACTAATGAATCCAACGGACTCAGGATAGTTGGAGCTGTAAATAATCTCATCTCTTTAAACAAATAGTTGAAGGGATTAGTTTCAGCTATTGAAATAGGATACTCCTAGTGTTTCACCAGGGAAAAAAAACCGAATAAATGAATTTTACTCCACCTCCGGTAATCTCAATCATGAAACTTGTTTCAAGCCAGAGGGACTAAAAAAAAAAAAAAATGAATCCAATGAACTTAAAGACTCTAATCCCCTAAGCAAAACCCTAATAGAGCAAATCTAGTTGGGATGTGCCAATTCTTTGTCCTCAGTACTTTGAAAGAGACTAGTTTCAACTGTTGGCGGACAAATAAATGAATTTAACTCAAATTCTGATAAGCCAAAGTGAGATATGAAAATGGTGAGTTCATTTGTTGATGGCAGGAAAACCAGTGTTGGACTGGGCAACAAGGAAGCAGATAGCATTAGGAGCAGCAAGGGGACTGCTATACCTTCATGAGCAGTGTGATCCAAAGATAATTCATAGGGATGTGAAAGCTGCAAACATACTGCTTGATGAGTACTATGAGGCAGTGGTTGGAGATTTTGGGTTGGCAAAGCTTTTGGATCATCAAGACTCTCATGTGACTACTGCTGTGAGGGGGACTGTGGGCCACATTGCCCCTGAATACCTCTCCACAGGGCAGTCCTCTGAGAAGACAGATGTCTTTGGATTTGGTATTCTTCTTCTTGAGTTGATTACTGGACTCAGGGCTCTTGACTTTGGAAAAGCTGCCAATCAGAAAGGAGCCATGCTTGATTGGGTATGTTTCTTCTTAAATCATGAGCCATATATTTCACATCAATGCACTGTTCACAAGCCATTTTTCCCAACTTGGTTTTCAACAGAAATTTGATCATAATAGAAATAGATTCTTCAGTTTTGGAGATGACTCTGTTATGCCAAAACTAAAAGCTTGCGTGTAAATTCCAAGCAGTTAAATCATTTAGTTGTTTTATGGAAGATGAAAAATTTTGCAAGTACATGTGAAATGTTACGTTATTCTCTCAACTCTCCTCCTAGTCAAACTCAAAACCATTCAGTGATCTAAGAAATATATGATGAAACTGATTCAAGAAGTGCAAATTCTTTTTGTAATGATTGGTTCAGGTGAAGAAAATTCATCAAGAGAAGAAACTTGAACTGCTGGTGGACAAGGATCTGAAGAGCAACTATGACAGAATAGAGCTAGAAGAAATGGTGAAAGTGGCACTTCTGAGTACTCAATACCTTCCAGGACAGAGACCTAAAATGTCAGAAGTAGTGAGAATGCTTGAAGGAGATGGACTTGCAGAAAGATGGGAAGCTTCCCAAAGAGCTCATGACACAACAGCCACAAGCAAATCCAAACATCCCCATGAATTCTCTTCATCAGATCGCTTCTCTGATCTCACTGATGACTCTTCTTTGTTAGTCCAAGACATGGAACTTTCAGGTCCAAGGTGATTTTGTATACAGCTTAGATTTTTCTTTTATATATATATATATATGGTTTTTTAAGTTTAGAAATTTAAGTATATGATTTTGAAGAGCCTATATAATGATGCTTGAATCTATAATGCAAACCAATCTTGATGTTTCCTTTTAAATGTACAGAAATTTTTGTTGTGTAAAAAGTCAGAGGAATAGGACCTTTCAGCACAACTTCATGTGCTTACGTAGACACTTTGTTTAAACTTGTATTGTCTGTCTTTTCTTTCAGCTTCAATCAAATTCATTTTAATTGATTTAGTATGATTTTATTCATTAATTAAGCTATGGTTTTTTCCTAATTACAAACAGACTAGATTCATTTCTATTAAACACACAAAATTTGAGGATTAGATACACAGTATTGTATGTGGCTTTTCTGCAAATCATTTATCTTTTTATATAATCTGTCATCCACAAAATATAAATGCATTGGCTTTTCCTTGTTCATTGGGTGACGAAAAGCTTTCCAGCATCATTTTAATATTAAAAAAAAGGTTTGAAAGCTAAAACTGAAATTCACTTAAGAATATAACAATAACAAGCTTTATCTTATTAAGTAGGATCAGCTATATGGATTGTTTGGCGCCTTTATACCTCTATCAAGGATCAAATCTTTGAATAAGTTGTGAATCAAAAGGTCCTGCTCAATAATGGTATCGAGTATTCTCTTTAGTCTTATTGCACATCCTACTGTTAAGGTTCAATCATGCTTATATATGAAGTTAAGAATAAAAAAAAGAAGTTCCATAATCATGCGCATCAAGAAAAGCAACTGAAAAGTTAAATTTTAGTATCTCTAACAATTTCCAAATGCAAAAGGATTAAAAATTGTGAAGTGCCCATAAAAATGATCAGAATTTCGAAAATTCCAAATACAGTGGAAGAAAGCAATGCCAAAAAAGTAATTTATGATTTGAGATTGTTATTCAAAATGGTGATATGGATTAATGGTATATATTTGACTTTAATTATCGTACTTAATTAACAGACAATAACTTTAGGCTTTAAGATTTGCATCTCATCGATTTCAACTATATATTGAGGTCAGGAATGGTCCACCTAAGTACACTCTAAATCCTAATCTAAGCTCTCAAATTCTCTTGGCATCATCTTTCCAAAAAGAGCCTTCTTCCAGGCCCACCTTCTTCACGGGCCTAACACGTTTTACTTTCAACTTTTTGAGCAGCATGCTCATTTAAAAATCTTTATTTTTTATTTAATCAAAAAATCTTTATATTTTACACATCGTCCGTAAGTTTAACGGTAGGAACTATACCCTCTCCCTCAAAAAGGAGAATGTTTGATTTTCCGTCACAATGTTTGGGGAAGCATTCTAGAATGATGATGCCTAGGTTAACACGTGAGGATATAATATAGGTTTGCCTTGCCCAATATTGATATCACCTAGAAAAAGCTCTTAAGTGTGCTACCCTTGGCTTCGATTGAGTCTGAACTTCTGCCTAAAATTTTTTCACCGAAAAACAAATCTCTATTTTTCATATGAGATCATATTTAAATAGTTGGAAATCTAAATTTTTTATAATTAAAAGTAATGAACAAAAAATCAGATCAGGTACTAAACCAGTTGAAGTAGTAATTCAAAAGCTAGTTGATCGAACTAGAATCAAACCAATCATATTAAAACAATGTAATTTAATTGAAAATAACAAAATACAATAATATTAATAATCTATAATAACAAAATATAAGGAAATATAACAATAGTTTAATTATAACAATAACAAAACACAATAACATTGAGAATTTTAATATTTACAATTCATCAATAACTAAAATTAGTAATCATTGATATCAAAATCATCATTAAAATTCATTCAAATTTATAGTAACTGAGATATTAGGAGATTAATGAGAAAAAATAAAACTAATAACAATATAATTATTCAAATTGGTTTTGGTTTTTACTAGTTTTTATCTCTTCAACACTTAAAGCAAATTGGATCATTGGCTAGTTCATTAGTTTTCGATTAACCCAACTGGCTTGGTTCGGTTTTTTTTTTCACGGATGGAATTTCAAATCTTATTTTTGAAAATAAACACAATCAGCAAAATTCTTCAACCCACACAAATCGTAAACGCTCACTCACATGCCACTGTTTTTTGGAATAATAATTTAAATTCTCTTTTTTGGTTACACGTATGCACTGTTCAAATTTATTCTTGTTATTTTTAATTAATTCGTTGTACTTGGCATGAACAGTTTATTAGAATATGCTATTTTCAAATTTTTTTACATTCAATATCATAGTACATGCTATTAATTTTTTTTTTTTTGCCATCGTATATGCTATTAATAATATACTACTATTACCCATGCTGCTTTTTATTTTCCAAAGTTAACGGACGAGTTATTTTAAACTAAAGATAAAGATACGACATTGGATAATCTTTCGGTTATACCTCATTTTATTTCTGTGTGTGTTTGTGTAAAATATGAGTATTATTAAGTGCTTAAATAAGATATCTGAAACTTGAGTATGCGTATATATAAAAAGTATTTTCCCTCAGGTCTCGATCAGTGTGCTAATTGCTCGAATTTAATCCGAATAGATAAAAACACAAACATTTTAAAAAAAATATTATAATTAATGTAACAAGGCTATATTTAACATTCGAAACATACTTTTTTTTTTGTGAAAACATAAGTTTTTTTTTTTAACTCACTTATAACTCACAAGAACATATACTGGAGTTTTAACTCAAGCTAACCCAAAAATCAGAAAGATATATAAAAACATTTTCAACAATCAAACATGGTTCTAGAGGCCATGTGAAGTTAATGAAGTCAATGTCTTATCAAATAAACTGTAGTTAATTACTTAATTAAAGTTAGTGCTTAATTACATCAATCAAATTAAATTATTATTATTATTATTATTATTATTTCCCTGAAGACCTCCTTTTCACGGTCACTAAGACGACCTCTCCATGAACCACCACCACAAAGTTCTTGCAAAAACTTGTGTCATGATTTAATTTTAAGAAGAATTACAATTAGGTCCCATCCAATATAATTAAATACAAAAAGGTTCCTTGAAATTATGAAATTATTCTGAAATCCCAAGTTAAATTAAGTTGTCAAACCAGCCGCGATAGTTGTCAATCCTTACACCCTAAGTTGTCAACTACTGCTCTTTCAGTTGTCAATGCAAACTTAAAAAAAAAAAAGAAGGATAATTTGGTAATTAAACGAATAAAATTTATTGCAAAAAAGTTTCTTGGGACTTCAAAATAATTTCATGATTTCAAGGAACTTTTTTGTATTTAATTACCTTGGATGGGACCTAATTGCAATTTTCTCTTTATTTTAGCTTTCTTTTCTTCTTTGATCCAAGAAAATAAATCAAATTAAATAATATATTCCTATTTACTTTTGTTTTAAAGTAGAGAAAATCAATATTATTAAGGGTATAATGATAATATTTATTTTTAAAAAAATTTTGTCGGTCACCAAAGAGGTTTTTTTCTTTTTTCATTCTATGATCATTTTCACCTTATCCAATGGAATAGGGGGGGAAAAAAAAGTCAATTGATTTTTATTAGGCTACAACTTTACCGAGGGCGCCACCAAAAGTTTCTATGGTCGCCACCAACTGGACCATACACATCATATTGGGTTGAATTATTTGCTGATATGTACCGCATAAAACATTATCCTTTTTTTTAAAATAAAGATTAATATAATCTTCAGTTTCTTAAATTTATTCTCATTTTGGTTTTTGTTTTTTAAATTTTAAATAATAGGAGGCGTAAAATGGTCTATTTTTTTATTAAATTAGAGGTACTAATATTTTAAATGAAAAGAGACTTGAAGGAGTAAAATTAATAGTTTTAAACTTAAAGGACCAAAATCAAAATGAGAACAAATTTAAAATATCAAAGATTATATTAACCTTTTTAATAAAACCAAAACAATAATATCTTGGAATTCACACTAAATTATGTAAAAGTTATCACTACTTCCAATTTTTAATATAAAATATACTTAATTAATTTAGATAAAATAAAAAAATTAGTTAAATTAGTTATTTGTCAAAAATATGTATTATTTTTTTAAAATTATTTTTTGAATAATTTATATTGAAATTATCTTTTTTACACAAAGTTAGAAATTCCCTTAACATGTGTAATAAAGAGAGATATTTTAGAAAAATAATAATAAATATGGGGAAGAAATTGGATTGAGTTATTAATATTAAGGACCAAAAATAGTATTTCATATATTTTGTTAATTATTGATTTAATAATTACTATTCTTAGACTATGGTGACTATATATATATATAATATATATATATATTTTAACAAAAAATCTCCTTGACGATTTTTACCTTGAAAAAAAATTGATATTTAAATGAAGGTGCGACGCGGCAGCTTGTAAACTCGCTAATTTTTCTTCTTTTTTCTTTCCTTTGTTTTTATAATATTCCGTTTGGTATTGGACGAGTTGTTTTTTATGAGGATGATGGTTTTTTAATAATTTGAAGTCTAATCGCAAATGGCAAAAAAAAAAAAGAGAATTGGTTCGCGTTGAAAAGAAATCTAATAAAAAATAAATAGGAAGAATTGCAGTCAAGTCTTAATAGAGGGATTTAATTACTCTAAAATCCTTTGATAACTAAGGGGCATAAACTGATAAGTTTCAGTGTAGAAAATAACAATTGGTTTATATTGCTTACTTGTCACTGAAAATTTTTGGTAATTAAATTTTTTTTCTTGAGACCCCATAATAATTCTCCCAAGTAGATATATCCTTACCAATATTATATGGTTGGGATTTATAGATAGTGTCCAATTTATTTATATAGAGTACTTATAGTTTCTTTTTTCTTTTTTTAATTAGAAAGACCAACGTCTAATATGAAATCTTTACAGTATCTTTAATTTCTGCAAACCATCAAATATCTTTTGTCTGGTTCCCATGTTTTTGTGGGGATGGATGCCAGTGAAAATCTATAATGCTACATGAGGAAGAATTTATTTTACTTAAAATTTTATGACAATAAATAAATAAATAAATAGTATTTAAACATCCACCGTGCTTTCTTTCTTTGGCTCCTCTCTTCTTCTTTTTTTTTTGGGTGGCTTCATGGATGAGAGCATCAAGAATACAGTTCACCTCAAGCAATCCAAGTTCCTTTTGTAATCCACTTTTCGATATATAGCAAAACAAGACAACCAATCGTTGTATGACTTTCTCTGCTAATCGTGGGAAATTCCAATTTCGCTATTAATATATAATAATATAATTTATTAAAAATATTTAATCAAGGCTTTCAGAAATAGGCAAGGGAGTGAACTCAATCATGATTAAAAAATTATAATATAATATAATTAAAGTATACAAAAATATTCATATATAACCCTAAAAAGAGTAATACTTAAATAAACAAAAATTAATACATAAGTAAATAGAATATTCATGTATATATCACACATAATCCAATAAAACAGAGTTATTAAAGTACAAATTTGACATATATACTGCTTGTTGGAATTTTAGGATGAGTATGTTAAAAGAAGTTCTATTTTGTTCAAGATCGAGGGGCAAGACCTTTTTATTTTGTTCTTAACTTAAAAAGACATCGTTTCATACCTAGCAAGGAGGGGGAAAAAATCAATTCAGTCCTAAAAACCTATCCAAACTTTAGAGTGGGGCAGTTAAAAAACTGATTTACCCGTTCACTAGTTTAATAACACACAGATAAATTAGGCTACTACACGTACGTTATGTTTTTTTTTTTGTTACAAAAAATTGTAAGTGAATTAAGTCTTAAGAGCCCGTCAATACAACAACATTCCTCCACACTCAAAAAATATTTAGAGAACTAATTACAAATCGCTCATTAACAATATCCTTATATTGATAAGGAGATTTAAATTTACGATTTTATGAATTACAAGCTGCCTATTTACTGGCTGGATTAATTTCGGTTAGTTGTACATATGTCATGTCATAGCAGTAGAAAAGGTGATGAGAGCATATATTCGTCGATAAAAGAACACGTTTAGTGGGGCCAACCATGTCTTGCTTGCTTGTTCCCTTCCCTCCTTCTTATGTGTACGTTAGTTGGTTGCTTCATGGGGGGAAATATGAATCGTTTCAGCTTATAAGTAACCAAATTCCCTTTGTAAATCAACTTTGCAAAGTCAAGTAAGTTCCTCCTCCTGCAATTAATTAATGTCGAGAAAATCTCATTTTAATATATACTACCTCCGGTCTTTAATATAAGACCCCGTTTGACTTTTAATTTGGTCCTAATTATAAGACCCCAATCCATTTTGTCTCTCATATTTATGTATTTTTTTCTAATATAGTCCTTCTAATAATGATAGTTCTAGCTAATATACTTAATTAGCAAGGATATTTTAGGAATGACAACACTTATTTATTACAAATAACTAACTTAACATACTTTTTTAATTTCTTCTAATTAGTCAACTGGATTTTATAATTAGGAGCGAAGATACATATATAGTGCTAATTAAGTCTCTCTGTCGATGTATTTGAAATCTGGCCATATCAGTGGTGACAAGATTAGACTTTGTTAGATATTCTGTACTATTGTCTATACGTGTTGCTTCTCAAAAGAAAAGGAATTGGATGTGTAATTAAAATACATTAAGATAAGCCTATAAAGATCCCTTAGGAAACTTCTGTTATATAGCTGTATTTTATTCTCTCCATTACACCCCCCACAACAAAGAATATTTATGTCACCAATTAGTCTGCTATTTCTTTCAATTTTTCCTTTTTTTTTAATCACTATTATTATCTTTTTTTTTTCTGACTCATATTTTTTTTTTTTTGCTTTTTTTTGGGAAAAATGTAAGTTATATTATTTATAACGGATAGTATAATAACGTATAAAGTATGTTGGCAAAAAAAAATATATAAAGCTTAATCGTTTTTATTTAAATAAATTCCATCCATATATATAATTTATAAGAAATGAGTTATCATGCATTGACGTCAGAAGAATATTCAATTTGTTACATCGGATTGTAGTTTTTTTTTTTTTGTTCTTCTATATTTTAGTGTTGAGAGACGGTAGCCTTCCCTCACCGCCAATTTTTGTAATACAAGTATTATTAATTACTTATGTATTATTCCTCCCAATAAAATATTTATCTCATCAAATAAAATTGTGCTTTTTTTATTACTTAAAATTATAAATAGTTAATATTGTTTAAATCATATTTCAACTTTTTCAATTCATAAAGAAGGAGTCCCTGTCCCTTACAATAACAACAACAATAATAACGAAAGAAACAATATGGGGCAGTTTAGTAATTTCATATATACACAATACATATATACTCGTATATGTATGTGAATACTGAATACATATACAGAGACAGAGAGAGAGGTTTCAATAGGTGAGCATCGTAACTTTTGCAGTGTGCGCCCTATAAATAAATTCCGTGATTGTCTCTGCCTCACCAAATTCCCGGAAAACAGAGCATCTTCCAGAGTCCCAATTAAGTCTCGCCAAATGAGGCCTTTTCCATCAACTCCGACCACCTTCAATTCTTCGCCGCCGCCGTCTCCTTTCTCTTCAGCCGGCTGTATGCGAAGCTTCAAGTCTCCGATTCCGTACCTATTCGGAGGGCTCGGTCTGATGCTGGCTCTTATTGCAGTAGCATTAGTGGTGCTGGCCTGTTCTCACCGGAAACGACCCTCGCCGTCGCCGAACTCTTCCGGTTGTGATGACGAAGAAAGCAAATTGGAAGCAGCCAAAACGACGCCGGATTCAGAGCCCAGAATCCTGGTTATCATGGCCGGACACAGTAACCCCACTTACTTGGCAAAACCTCTCTCTTCTTCTTCTTCATCCTCCTCCTCCTCCTCCACTGCAACTCAACAAACCCTATGAAGGACAATTAATATCATTCTTCTTCTTCTTCTTTCTTCTTGTTCTGGTTTTGTTTGTCGTTCACAGAGATGCAGATAAATGCTGTTATAGGTATAAAAGCGTACCCGTTTTGTGTTTGGGTATGGCTTTCTAAGTTCATATGAGTTTTGCGAGATCTTGTATCTAGTCTGGAGAGTTTATAATAAGTTAATAACACACGCATCGTCCATCAGAGATTTCGATATTATTCTTGATTGTGGTTTCTTTTTCATTTCCAATTTCTCATTTCTCATTATTGTTGTTGTGGTATGTTTGTGAGCTATTTTGGTGAGGTGGGAGTTGTGAGGGTCACCGGCCAGCCAATAGTTTTTTACCAGTGGCTGAATTGGTTCGTTCAACCCAAAAAGAGGGTCTCATATAAACCTTCACGTCCCAGTTTTCTTAATTATAAATATTTGTAGAACTCCTTTCAGTGTTGTAGATGATTAATTTATGAAAAAAATTTCAAAAAAAAAAAAGTAGTTGAATTACTTATTTGTAAAAAATGAGTGTTGATTTTCTTTTGAAATACTCTGCCGATTCTTAATATAAGACCTAATTGTTGAATTGATTTTACTCTTAAATATAAGACGTATTTCTAATATTTATCAGTTTTTTTTCTAAATTATCCATATTGATACTCGGTCAATCGTAATCAAGTAAGGGAAAGAGGGAGGATATTAAAAAAAATGATTGTGATGTTTTATAAAAAACATGTTATATTTCTTATAATTAACTAACTTACCTAACTTTCTTAATCTAATCAAATTAGTTAAATAGGTATAGGAATATTATCTTTAATTATTTGTATTAGAACTATATTATAAGTTTTGCGTCATAAACTAATTTCAAGAGAATTAATTTCCTATCAAATAAGTTAGTATTTTAAGATTAGGCACTTTCCGCAAAACCGTTTGGGTATCCCAAACCGTGGTTTCAGAAGCACTTTTCCGCAAAACGAGATAATCTCCTCCACATATTTACTTCGTAATCCGTAAAAGCACTTCTGAAACCATGGTTTGGTTTCTATCCAAACACACCAAGAAGACTATTCACAAGAAGACTATTCACAAGAGCCTCAAAGGGAATGGATCAGTATGAATTCCATATTAACGAGTCTCAGAAGTGATTTATAAATTGAAGGGACATTATCACCAAATACGCTTTTTTGTTGTTGTTAGAATTAAACTTTCTTTTCAGATTTGTGTTCGCGGCCACTATCATTTTATAGAAACTCATACAATGTACTACCTCCGGTCCTTAATATAAGACCCTGTTTGATTTTTATTTTGGTCTTAAATATAAGACCCCAATCCACTTTGTCTCTCATATTTATACATTTTTTTTTCAAAGTAGCTCTTCTAACAATAATAGTTCTAGTCAATACGCTTAATTAGCAAGGATATTTTAGAAAAGACAACACCTATTTAGGACAAATAACTAACTCAACTTACTTATTTAATCTTCTCAAATTAGTCAACTAGCTCTTATAATTAGGATCGGAGGTAGTATAATATATGTAATTAATAGGAGTAGTTTAGATTATAAAAAAAAGATCTTACATTTAAATCAAAATAAATTCATGGACAAACTCCCGTATCTAGATCATATCAGGGAAAGTATTATGTATAGTGCGGCCATTTTTCAAATATGGCGTCACGCTGCTCTACGCCAATAGGAAGAGTAGAAGAGGAAAGAAGATGGGACACAGGACACTGGAGAAGTATAGACGGGGCGGGTCGAAAGAGTCTTGAGGAAAAACCAAATGGGTGGGCCCGACCCATCACAAAAAGGTCCACGTTCATATCAACATCTACTAGTGGAAGACAGCCCCTTCCTTCCACCATATTTCTCCCTTATTCCACGTTTCATTTTCTTTTCCCTGTCTTTTATTCATTTTTTTATTTATATATTCAAAATCCAACTAAACTTGCTTTTTCTTGTTCCTTAATGGGCACGATCAAATCCAGTGGGATGCCATTTCAGTTAATTAAGCCCCCTGAATTGCAAATAATTCAAACTTGCTTCTCCTTTTTGAGTATGTTTCAAATCAAACATTAATATTATTGTTCACATGGCACATATAAACAAATCCAGTTGCAATAATTAACTAATTAATTTTGATCTTTTTAAATTATGACATACTACGCATTAATCCGTTGGGGCAGAAAGGGGAGAGTGAGGAAGAGAGCAGCTAATAAAATTTGACTTTAGAAGGAATTGTGAGTGGGACGCGGCAACCTGAGATTGATTTTGTTGACACTCGTACACGCACAACACGATTCCTTAAAGATTTTTGTGGAACAACAGCAGCAACGCCTACAATCTTATTATATGTTTGGTGGGCGGCGGCAGTACATTCAGCATTCTTATCCCTTGCTTGCTTAATCTGTAATGTTTCACACACACACACGCACACATATATATACACACACAACCTCTGATCTTCAATATAAAAACCGGATGATTAATTTGAAAAGAGATTAAGAAAGTTACTAAATTATTTTAAATTATTTATATCTATCATTTTTACCAAACTAATTTGCTTCACTTATAAATTGATGTGTAATCTAGTAATTCATATAAGTATTTTAGAAAGATTATATAACATTTTATAATTAAATAATTCAGTAACTTTCTTAATATTTTCAAATTAGTTAATTGGATCTTATATTAAAAACTAGAAGTTGTGTGTGTATTGTGAATGATTTTGTAGCTTAATGGCATGTAAACTCTCCGGTCTTCTAGAAAGTAGAAGATTGTAGGTTTGGTTCTGCTGATAATAATGTCATATTGTGGGCTAGTACATGCTTCTTTAATTCCAAAAAGAAAATGTTTGATATGTTAGTCATATGAATTCATATTTGATTCAGTGGAAGCTCTCATCGACCTCATTGGGAATGAGCTTCCCTAGATTCATCCCCTCTTCAACAGTAGTGAAGCATAGGATCATTACATTTGATCATAAATTATCAAGTACAAAGAATATGGTAATCAACCCACAGCAAAGATTAAGGGAAAAGTATAAACTCCTTCCAACTTGTCAGACTCGGAGGAGAATTTGGCAACCCCTTACAATTACTTAAAAAAAATACTTTCACTTCTCTCGTATAACTGTAAAATTACTTCTAAAAAATTCGGTCTAAAAACCTATTTTATCCGGTGTAAAAGACTTTTTTTTCTTAATAATATTACAATCACGGCAACTTGAGTCGGTTCAACATTCCTTTGATTTTGACTTCTATATCCCTCTTGGGACAGTTGAGCACTTAATCAACAATACTAATAACGTTGGAAATCGTTTGATACTAATTTGTAACTACTGAAAGATGCTCTCTCATATGAATTCAATTATCTCATGGCATTTTTAATTATTATATTACTACTTATGCTGCTTAATATAATATTTAGTTGATTAATTTGAAAAAATTAAGAAAGTTAAAAAAATTAATTATAGCAGATGTTACATAATCTATCTAAAATAATTATATGTATTATTAGATTATATATCAGCTTACAAGCCAGATAAATTAGTTTGGAAAAAAATATTAAATATCATGCTCTAAAGTATTTTATTTAACTTCATTAATCCTTTCAAATTAGTTAATTGAATCTTATATTAAAAATTAGAGGTAATATATTATATTATCAGGCAGTTTAATATATTATTTACAGTTATGCTGATTGGAGATGTAGATGGGAATTGCAGACGGTTATTTCTGAAATAGAAGACTGTGGAAGGTTTGAAATTGCCTTGACTCCCAGGAAAGGCAATGAAGCAGCAAATTGGATTGCTGTGTGTTGTAGAAAAGAGGTGTGCCCTGTGGGGTGGATTTTTAATCCAGCACCTGCTTTGAAACAAGTTCTGGACGTGGATTTGGAAATAACTGGAAGTCTGCAAGGTCTGCCTTTGGGTCTGATAAGCTGAATTTGACAGAAGTGGCATTGGTTGATCTGCTAGAGATTTTGTTAGTGCTTTTTAATCTGTTTCTGTCTTGCTTTTGTTTCTTTTAGTTCCTGTAGGTTGTATGTTAGGTTTGTGTTTTGGTTTGAGCTGTGTGGTAGGTTGTATGGTTAGGCTTTTTTGAGTGTTTTTCCTTTCCTGGCCTTAAAGGCTATTAGTGTGTGTACCTATTTGCTTTGTTGATTAATAAAATTGACTTGCTTTTGGCCAAAAAAAAAAAAAAATGTCTCTCAGAAAACAGAATGGAAATTGAGGACTAAGGAGCGAGCCAACGAGAAATTTCATTAAAATTGTTCTGATTGAGACATCATCAATAATGTGATGAGGAAAATATACAAGCAATTATTAAAGGGAAAATCTCAACAACAAAAAAGACTATTGAATTTCAAAATTCTAAATCAATATTAGTTACTGTACTCATGAAAAATATGACTATACTCAAAAAGTAAATGATAAAATATTTTTATAATAATTTCTTATTTAAAATTTTGAAATTCAATAATCATTTTTTGCGATTTTCCCATTATTAAAGCAATGGATAAAATTGACACACCAAATTAGTACTACCTCATATTCTAATTATAAAACCTCATTTGTAGTCTACAAACAAGATCTTATATAGGACCAGAGATGGTAGTATTTTATTGAAATGTTGCAAATATTAATTAATTTCCAGTTTCGTTAGGATCACAAGTTCCTTTTTATATCATAATCACCCTTTATGGTTGTGGTTGATGCTAAATTACCTGTCCGTGTCATTAACGTTATCAACAGATATCAAGGAGTGTTGAGAAATTTCTAAGTCACAATTTTTTTAAGAGAAAATTAAAGATCAATATACTGCATTATTAGGGTTTAATTTACTAGAAATTGACCTGTAAGTTTGTCTTTTCTTATTGTTCTTGCATTATTAGTTTATTACCTACCTTTCAGGACACGAACGGATGTTCCAGCGTCTGATATTGTGAATGTTATAAATTTATTATAAAAATATATATTTATATATAATATAAAAATTTTAATAACTTCATAAATAATAAATAATTAACATAGCTTATTTTTAAAATTTCTCGTAACATATGTGGCTTATCTAATTTCTAAACCTAGTTTCCAGTTCAGGAATTCGAAAAATCGTATTATTTGTGATGAAACTCTCATCAACTCAAAATAAAAGCAAATGATCAAACTGAAATTAAATAAGGCTGAAAGACTGAATTTAAATTTTGAATTAAATTAAAAAAGCG